CAATAATGATTACCGGTCTAGTTATCGATTGCCTAGGGACAAATAACTTTCTCGTAACAACAAGCTCTCTACTAAAACTTAGTTGTGTCTTTACCTAAACAGCCCCTACTTTTTATTTACGTAATCTTTATTACCTTGCAAACCTATCCAACAACACCTACAAAGTACTTCTAGTTTCATACTTGTTCTAGGTAAAGCGAACGCCAAGCGTGCGTAGAGTTGTATCGTTGGTCGATAGAACTTGAGGGAATATTTGTTATACCTTTAGCTCCTCATTGGGTTCGACACTCTTACTTATCGAAAATTGTTGCGATCCCCTATACTTGTGGGTTATCAGATTCCTACGCCCATCGGGAGTAGGACCCCTCCTTTTCCTTGTTGGAGTAGGAGAGGGAAGGAATGGAGAGAGGAGGAGAAGGAAAAAGGGGGCGCGCGGCTGCCCTGGCCGCCCCTCCTCTTCTCCCACTAAGGCCCATGAGGCCCAATTAACTCCCCGGGGGGTTTCGGTAACCCCCCGGTACTCCGGTTTTTATCTGAAACCACTCGGAACACTTACGGTGTCCGAATATAGTTGTCCAGTATATCGATCTTTACGTCTCGACCATTTCGAGACTCCTTTTCATGTCCGTGATCATATCCGGGACTCCGAACTACCTTCGTTATATCAAAACACAAAACTCATAATACCGACCGTTACCAAACTTTAAGCGTGCGGACCCTACGGGTTCGAGAACTATGTAGACATGACCGAGACACGTCTCTGGTCAATAACCAATAGCGGAACATGGATTCTCATATTGGCTCCTACATATTCTACGAAAATCTTTATCGGTCAAACCGCATAACAACATACGTTGTTCCCTTTGTCATCGGTATGTTACTTGCCCGAGATTCGATCGTCGGTATCTCAATACCTAGTTCAATCTCATTACCGGCAAGTCTCTTTACTCATTCCGTAATGCATCATCCTGCAACTAACTCATTAGTCACATCACTTTCAAGGCTTATAGTGATGTGCATTACCGAGAGGGTCCAGAGATACCTCTCCGACAATCGGAGTGACAAATCCTAATCTCGAAATACGCCAACTCAATAAGTACCTTTGGATACACCTGTAGAGCACCTTTATAATCACCTAGTTACGTTGTGACGTTTGGTAGCACACAAAGTGTTCCTCCAGTAAACGGGAGTTGCATAATCTCATAGTCATAGGAACATGTATAAGTCATGAAGAAAGCAATAGCAACATACTGAACGATCGAGTGCTAAGCTAACGGAATGGGTCAAGTCAATCACATCATTCTCCTAATGATGTGATCCCGTTAATCAAATGACAACTCATGTCTATAGCTAGGAAACACAACCATCTTTGATCAACGAGCTAGTCAAGTAGATGCGTACTAGTGACACTTTGTTTGTCTATGTATTCACACATGTACTATGTTTCCGGTTAATACAATTCTAGCATGAATAATAAACATTTATCATGATATAAGGAAATAAATAATAACTTTATTATTGCCTCTAGGGCATATTTCCTTTAGTACATGGACATTCTAGCTACTAGCAACTGTCAACCAGCAAGAGCAGAAATGTACCAAAAAATATTTGTTGTGTCAGAGTTCCAACCGAACAAATATCTTCTACCTTTTAATTTGAAAATATGGGTCCCCAAGGAGTCAGAGCAAATTCATTAGCCTCCTGGATCGCGTGCTCGAACGGCTTCGGAGGACCCCTCGATCCCTAGCCAGCAGCACATAAAGCCACAGATCTCTCCTCGCCATCGTCGTTGCCGGATGCAGGCGTCGGCGGTGGTGCTGCCCTTCCCACCGAAGGTGAAGGGTGTGTGGTGGCTCCCAACTACCATCTCCCCTGCTCTTGATCTGTTGTTGGGCACTGACGTCGTCCATGGTCAGCTCGACGTGGTTCCCCTGATTTCATATATGGACAGTTTGGTTATGGTGATCCAGATTCGGTTGGCTGGTGGTGGTGACTATAGACTGTGTTGCAGCGACCCCCTATGGCTCCACGACAGTGATGGTCATCGAAAGGTCTTCGGGAGGGTTCATCCCTTCAGATTTGATGGTTGACTTCATCGGTGAGAAATAAACTATTGACGGCGGCTTGACGTAGAGGAATGGTTATGCAGCGGTGACGGTTGTACATTGGATCTAGCTGCATGGATCATGAAGAAGGGGTGGCAACGACACATGAGTGACTTTGATGGTGGTGCTACTTGTGCATCTGGTCTCAGCTTCAGGGTGAAAATTTTAGGTCTGACCCGAGGTGGTCATACCAGGCAATGGCGATGTTTTTTTACGTTGTTACCTTATTGAAGGCATTACTCGGATATGCTCAAACTACATGGTGAAAACCTAGATTCCTGCCTTGGTGGTTAGATCAGGTGACAGTAGTGCTTGAGCATCGCTCCCTTCCTGAAGGTGTTGCTATTGAAGAACCTGGTCACCTGTGTGGTTTCATGAGATGGTTGGTGCGGATATGTTCATTGTTGTAATTTGCTGATCACAGATCTGATCGTTGGTTTTTTTTAATCTCGTCTACGCATAGCTTTGGTCTTATATGACTTTTCTTGCTAGCGTGTTTTGTGAGTGTGAATTCGTGTTGGTTTTGTGCATCCTAACTATGCAGAGGTCGGGTGTGTGCTCACTACGTTTGCATCTACTTGATGCTCCATTATGAAGCAATAAAATTCACCCTTTGTTGAAAATGAAAAGAAAAATTGAAACTCATTGCATGAACTTTACAAAAAAGACCCCTCACACGAGTTGTAGAATGTAATGTTGTCCATCTTCTTCGAAGCTTCAGCCGAAGACCAAGATTTTCATCACCTAGGATCGTGTCACTTAGGATGGTAACCTTGTCGTGCCACCAATAGATGCCAGAACAGGAAGAAACAGAAGTCCAGTCGAAGCTATATTGCCTCTATATAGGAAGAAATGGAAGTCCGGTCGAAGCTATACTGCCTCCCGATAGGCTTTGTCGCTATGAGAAGCTGAAGGCGGCAAAGGATCCCAATACCATGCCACCCCAAATCATGATCTTCACCAACTTGGATTTAGTTATTGCGCCTACTTTAGGACAAACTCCACTCCTATATTTCTTGCTCTCAATATGTTGAAAGGTGAGAATTTCTTGTGGTGAGCAGCTCTTGGGCATTCGCTTTGTTAATAAACATTTCTATGTTGTTGTTGTTTCACTACCAATGGGTAGGCAGATTTGGGTGCTTATGAAGGTATGGCTTTGGTAAAGATATGCTTAGCATGTGCACTTCCGAATGCTACTTAGAATAGAACGAGATAGTCAGACTATAATGTCAAGAATGGTATTACACAACAAAAGAAGGATATTTTAATCAGCCTGCATGGCTCTCGAGTGCTTCTCGGACCCCAACCCTAAGGGGTAGTGAAAATCCATTAGGGGGAAGAGATAGGTTTCTTATCCAAAGATGGTCATAATGAAATCCCTCCGGGGGCCGCTCTTTGGCTAGAAAGGTCCACGGTGGGGGGTCAAGATTGAGGGCCAACGAACGATGCCCAAAACCACTGGGTCATAGCTTCACTCCCAATCGTGCAAAGAATATGTCCAAAACAAAGCAGTTGTTCTTGCTCCACATCCCTTGTCGTAGATCCATCCCCAGCGCGATGATCAAACTGTAGAAGTTGGACGCTCCACCCCATATCCTCCTCTGTTACCTCAACGACAAAGGGCATAGAGAGAATAAGCCTCCATCTTCCCTAGATCCAGCCGCCCCACGAGCTTATTGTGGGAGTTTTTGTCGAATCCGCCGCCTGTAGTTGCCCTTCACCATGGGTGACAAGCTTTGGAGGCGATTGGCGTCCACCAAACGTTGATCGTTAGCTCTTGAAGCTCCAACGTGGCAAGACCCAAACTCCCTAAGGAAGCCCTAAAGCTAAAACTACTATGTACAGGAGTGCACATGGCTCCACCATGCCTCTTCTCCGATCAGCAACACCGACAACAAAATCGAGGATCGAGACGGGCCCAAGCTCATCGTATTTAGCTCTCAAAGGAGGCTTAAGAAGGATTGAGAGAGAAAGTAATTGATTATTATTATTATTATTATTATTATTATTATTATTATTATTATTATTATTATTGTTATTATTATTAGACAACAAACAAGAAAGACAATATATTCCAACAAAAAGGCAAGAAGGACAACATATTTGCTATGGATGTGACTACATCTCAATCGACTAAGACTTAACGAGGTCTCGCTTAAGTGACACAACTTATAAAAATGAAGAAAGAAAAAACTAAAAAAAATACACGAATCTTCATGCAAGATCTCATGGATATTCGATCGACCGAGAGTTTGTTAAGTCTCGGTCCAATGAGATTTAACAATCGAGTTGCTATTGCTATTGCGCAGTTTTCATGGATACCAGCACGCTGCAGCAAACAGGCTAGTAGCACGCACTGAAATTTGATTTGCATGCAATATCTGCGGTAAACAGGCGCGGCAGCTTCCCAAGAATCAATTCAAACCAGACGGCGGCGCCCCGACGAGGAGAGGAGACGGTGGTGCTGCGGCCGCGCCACCAGGCAGCTGCCACTTGTACCCTGCTAGTCTCTCCACCTAGATGCCGCTGCGGCGGCTGCAAGCCCCTCGCCACGCGCGCGCCGCGGCCACGCTCTCCTCGGCGGCCGCCCACCACCTGTTCGACGGAATCCCTCGCCCAACCCGCGGCAGCACGCCTCTCTGTCTCTCCTCCCCCCGCGCGGGCCACCCCGTCCCCGCCCTCGTCTCGTCCCCCACCGCGTTCTCGGCCGCCGTCGCGTCGTCCGACCGGGCCACCCTCCCGGCGCTCCACGCGCTCGCCGTCGCCTCGGGCCTCGACGCCTTCGCCTTCGTGTCCAACTCCCTCGCCGCCCGCTACGCCAAGACCGGCTCCTTCCCCTCGGCGGCCAGGGTGTTCGGCACCGCCCGGGCGAGGGACGTCAGCTCCTACAACACCATGCTCTCCGCGTTCCCGGACCCGGCCGAGGCGCTCGCGTTCGCGTCCTGGATGCTCCGGTCGGGCGACGTGCGGCCCGACGCCGTCACGTTCACCGTCGCGCTGTCGCTCGCCGCCGGCCGCGGGGAGGGCGGCCTCGGGGTAGTTCGGCAGCTCCACGCGCTGGCGTCGCGGGCCGGGCTCGCCGCCGACGTGTTCGTCGGCAACGCGCTCGTCACGGCCTACTCACGGGGAGGGCTCCTCGGCGCGGCCAGGAGGGCGTTCGAGGAGATGCCGGCGCGGGACCTGGTCTCCTGGAACGCGATGATCTGCGGGCTCGCGCAGGACGGCGGCTGCCCGGCGGAGGTGGTCCGGCTGTTCCTCCGGATGCTCAAAGACGACGCCGTCCGGCCCGACCGGATATCCGCGTGCAGCGTGATCCCGGCGTGCGGCGGCGAGGGGAAGCTCGAGCTTGGCCGGCAAGTGCACGGCCTCGGGGTGAAGCTGGGCGTCGACGGGCACGTCACCATCGGCAACGTGCTCGTCGCCATGTACTACAAGTGCGGCGCTCCAGCCTGCGGCCGGAAGTACCTGCAGTCCATGGGCGAGCGCGACGTCATCTCGTGGACCACAATCATTTCAATGGACGAGGACGAGGACGCCGTCGCACTGTTCAATGGCATGCGGCGAGACGGCGTGTCGCCGAACGAGGTCACCTTCGTGGCGCTCATGTCGGCGCTGCCGGCAGGGTGCCCGGCGAGGGACGGGCAGATGATCCACGCGGTGTGCCTGAAGACCGGCGCCTCCGACAAGGCCGCCGCGTCCAACAGCCTCATCACCATGTACGCGAAGCTGCGGCGCATGGACGACGCGCGGACGGTGTTCGACCTCATGCCTCGCCGGGAGACCATCGCCTGGAATGCCCTGATCTCGGGCTACGCGCAGAACGAGCGGTGCAGCGACGCTCTGGAGGCCTTCTCGTGGATGGTCAAGTGCTTGAGACCCGACGAGACCACGTTTGCAAGCGTCATCAGCGCAGTCACCGGCGTCGAGACGGTCTCCATGGCCTACGGCGAGGCGTACCACTGCCAGGCAATGAAGCTCGGGCTCGGCGCCAGCGAGTACGTCTCCGGCACCCTCATCGACATGTACGCGAAGCGCGGCGGCCTGGAGGAGTCCCGGAAGGCGTTCGACAGGACGGCGCGCCGCAGCCTCATCGCCTGGACGGCGATGATCGCCGCGAACGCGAAGCATGGGAGCTATGACGCCGTCATGGGCCTGTTCGACGACATGGTGCGCTCCGGCGTGGCGCCAGACGGCGTCGTGCTCCTCTCGGTCCTCACGGCTTGCCGCTACAAAGGGGAGGTTGGCACGGGCAAGGCGATCTTCGACTCCATGTCCGTCGAGCACCGGGTCGAGCCCTGGCCGGAGCACTACGCGTGTGTCGTCGACATGCTAGGCCGAGCGGGGAGGCTGGAGGAGGCCGAGGAGCTCATGATGCAGATGCCATCCGGACCGAGCATCTCGGCTTTACAGAGCTTGCTGGGAGCCTGCCGGATCCATGGCAACGCTGACATGGCCGAGAGGGTCGCTGACGTGCTGACAGAGTCGGAGCCGGCGGAGTCCGGCGCCTACGTGCTGCTGTCCAATATCTACGCCGAGAAGGGGGACTGGGGAGGCGTGGCGAAGGTGAGAAGGCAGATGAGGGAAAGGGGCGTGAGGAAGGAGATCGGGTTCAGCTGGGTGGACTTCGGCGCCGGCACCGGCGAGTCCACGCATCTGCACAAGTTCTCGTCCGACGACACGACGCATCCGCGGACGGAAGAGATATACAGGGTGGCCGAGGGGTTGGGCTGGGAGATGAAACTTTTGAAGAACCATTTGCGCATGGAAACAGAAAGCGTTTCTTGATGTTTCAATCAAACTCCTAACTTCGAAATTGTTTGACCATGAAAAAGGAAACTACAGAGTGAGAAGAGGCAGCAACTCGCATCGCTTTACTCGAACTGGGTGGTGCTACAAAGTACAGAATAGAAAAGGTTTATCTTGCATTCTGCAAAACGTTCTTGGTCAAGATTAATTCTAGACTATCTTAACATAAGCAACCAAATGTGAAACTGGCAAGATTTGTGAGAACAAGGATGACTAAAACTTGGCCGGAATCCAAGCGATTTAGAGTTATACATGTACAGACAGTCTGGTATCGATAACCTATTGTACATGAAAAATAATTTGTACAATGCTCATACACAACAGGTGATGGTCCAAGCGGTTACTTCTTTGAAACCTGAAAGAGAAGGCACCGTCATTGTATCAGTGTCGGTACTTCAACAAGAACCACAGAACTGGACTCTCAAAAACAACATGGAACAGGTACCTTCTTATTTTTCAGCTTACTAATGCCAGATAAATATGAAGTAATGACTTTTAGGATATCCTTTAAGTACAAACATGATAAACGACACCAATACATTTAACTATCACATTACATATAAGAAACAAGAGATTGGCTGAGAGCTAAGTGACAGCCTTGCGAAAATTAGGCAACAAGGCGGTGTATGCAGTATGTATATATATAGTAGTATGATACTATGATTCAACGACACGGAGCAAGCATTCCAAAAAAAGATGCAATGGATTGTTCTAATATTATCTCAGTGGCATGAGTCACTTAAAATTGTTTCATAGGCCACATGGTGACATGGGATCCTTATGTCAACTAGTAAATGCGCACGTGCAACGCACGTTAATATTTAGGCAATATATTAATTGCACGCGGATATTAGGTATGCTATTATTTGTGTGTTAATCATGTGATTAGTATAATATTTGGCATGATATTAATTGCACGTTAAACACGTTTAATGCTCGCCATTGGAGCAATTTAGGTCGTTGGATTGACTTAGTTCGATGGCCGAGATCAGTTGGATCTGCCCCTTTGGGTCTTTTTATATTGATATAGGTATAGATATAACATGACAAGATAGTAATTTCCTTCCACACTTCCCTAAGGCGCAAGCAAACTTGGATATCAACAGAACAATTGATGAACTATAAAATACTACTAGTAAGCTTACCTGCTTGAACTTTCTCCAGAAGACATGCCACTATATAAAGACCGGAAAAGAAACGCCCACTAGCTGTTTTCTCAGTTAGCAAGATTAATTGACATTGATGTCCTCTCCCCTGCTCAAGAATTGAGATTACATAAACATTAGAATATAACAACAGGTATTGAACTTCAGTTATGATAAACTGAAACGTACCATCAAAACTGCTAAGTGGCCAACACTGTCATCTTGTAACAGCTCAAAGGAAAACCGACAGATACTCTTCAACCATAATTCAGCTCAGTGGGGACCACATAATTTACAGCATGTAGGCGATTCCGGGTAATATTGTGCATTTGCCTATTAAGCGCAATCTGAGAGTTACCACCCAAAATGTCCAAAGTATCACAAGCGTCGAGCAATGAAATCCATCATCGGCTGCCTTACTTGCTAGACTGTTCAGTGTTCACATCATCCAAGTAGATGCTAGCAACTGTATGAGAATGGAACGCCACTAAAGAAACAAAATAAGTAGAATCTCAAAACACTTCCTGTACAAACCAGCACGCCTAAACGATAAGACCTATGTGTTCTGCGCTATCGAACTTTTCCGCTAAATACTACCAGCACGTTGGGGACAGTGAAATGGTATAACCGTATAAGTATCACACATCCAACAGCACCTACTCAAAGGATGTCATGTTCTTGTGTTCTGGGATCTCAGCAGCTGATAGACTCCATTGAAATCCGCACAAGTCTGAGTAGATCATTCACGCTTCTGAAGTTGAAATCCAGAACTGTTTTTACTGAAGAAAGACCATCCACTCCCTTTTCATGGTTGCCAGCAGCAGAAGCAATTGCCATCTGTGATTTCCGAGTTGCCTCAAAGGCAGAATTGACATCATTTGTCTAAGAAAAATAACAACATAACATCAGATCCAAAATCCTGTTAATGAACCATAATGCAGGCACTGAAAGTAGAACTGTGTTAATTCAAAAGGTATATGGTTTGGGGGGTTTTCTAGAAAGAAAAAAAGTTACTTGGTTTCACGAGTGGAATAGCCTTAGGGTCAGTTGGTTTATCACCATACAATTCCACCAATGCTTATTGAATACAAGGAATAAGGCTGGACCACGGAAATCGTGGGATGACCCACCCAATGTCGGTGCAGCCTATCTGAGAACAAGGCAATTCCTCACAAACAAGTTATTGGCATTCTTCCCAGGACACAGTTAACATTTCACCATTAAGCAGAGCCAGTTGCTTATGATTGCCAACATCTATCCAGTTTGCTATTTTATGGAATTAATTCCAAAATTATATGTTCTAGTGCTCAAAATCTTGACCACTAAAATAGTTAAATTTCTAGGAAATTTCTTTATACAACTCAACTACAAGTATATCTGATACTGGAAGTTCAACCGGCTTCAATTCATATATGTATCCAATTAATACACCATCATACCAGCCACAAGGATCAGAACTATGTCTTTGCCACTACCATGCAGGATTGCAGCTACCATCACAAGCACACGTTAGCACACAATAATGAACTTTTTCTTTGTTCTTATTACATTGTCACAAGATTATGAACTGCAGTATCATACCATTAAATTATCAATATAAATGAGAACTTTATTTAACTGCTACAAATTATTAAATTATAAATATAAATGAGAACTCTATTGAACTGCTAATCAGGATATTCAAGAACTTACATAAGCTAGTAACCTTGTCAGGTGTGGTTGATTGCGAACGGCCAGTAATAAATGGTTCCCAGCAACTTGGGGTGAATTAGCATCCTTGTTTGAAGGGGCCATCTTAGATAATCCATTGTTATTTAAGTTATCGATGTCTGATGCTGAAGATGATGGTGATTCGCCTACAAAAGTAACAATGTTTGAAATTCCACAACGCAAGCTACATTTAATATACACAAACTTAAATTTCACCAGTCAGACTCAACTACCTGGTGTAGTCAGTACAACTGCCTGCAACACCTGCCGGTCCTTACTTGCAATAGGGTATTTGTAGTATGCAGCCTTGAGATAAGCTACTTCAACACATTTATATGCTAAAGCAGCAGCGGCCATCTTCTTGCACCTTTCATATTCATGACCAACAAAGCTGGACAATAAAATGAATACAAATTAATTATACTGACCAAACTTGAACACTCTTCACCTAGAAAACATGAATACTGCTACAAAAAACAGTAACTTCTGACTACAATTTGATAGCCCAAACAGTAATACTGCTGTTGAAGCAATTTGGCCTAGATCCAGCTCGCTAACATTTAGTAATATCACATCAGCCTTGTAGTATATATATATATATATATATATATATATATATATATATATATATATATATATATATATATATATAGGTGAAAACCATCAGGCTAATCAACTATAATGTGAAAAGCATCAGGCTAACCAAATGATGATAGCACCCATCCAAGTCGCGCTATGCCGAAGAAACACTTCCAGGCACTACTTCCCAATTTACAACTAGGTGAGCTATGTTCCCATGCGTTTATTCGCAGAAATGAAATAACCTGGCAAGTAGAACAATATATCATCTATATTTGTGTAGCTTACTTGCAGAGTTTTGCAGTATCAGAATACATGCTCTGAGCTGCATCACCTTGTTTCAGACCATCAATACCAGGAGGTTCCAGAAGTGATGCTACATGCAGAAATTTTAAGGCTGCCTCAAAATAGAGCCTTGTGCTTTCAAGTTCTTTTCCTTCTTTCTGCAGAGAAATTTGGTAAGTATCTTACAAAATAAAAGTAAGCATATTCATACAAGAGCAAAGGTGAACAACCTTCAAACGGTTCGCCTTGTGCTTTAAATCTCGAGCTTCTTTGAGAGCATATGCAGTTGAATTACTATCTTTCCCTTCCGTAGGATTTGAAGTTCCCTGTTTGGCAACACGCTGTTGCCCTCCATTTTCATCACTGCTTCGCCTTGACTGTGGTGTCAATTTTGACGCATTAGATTTTACTGGAGTGGAGTGGGTTTCTTTCAGAGGCGAAGGGGCAATTTGGGCTTTGGGCTTCTCCATATCTTGCTTGTTACTCTTGGGATAAGATTTATCTTTTCCAGATGGCACCTCTGGTTTAGGATTTCCATCCAGAGCACAATGAGTTAATCCATTTCTATCTTGGATAGGAGCTGCAGTTTTCTTACTTTCACTCGCAATCAAATCTCCTTTCAAGCCCGAAGCTGCAGTCCTAGGTTGCACTAAAGAGCCATCAGTGCGCAAGTTATTTTTATCACCAGAATGCAGGTGGTTATAACCCCTCGCTGTGCTGGAGCCATTCACAGTGGAGTCCTTTCTCCCAGATGCATGCTGCTGATCATCATCCAAACCCTTTCTCAATGAAAACCTTTCGGATGCATGGCCTTGAGTTAACTGAACTAATTCATCATCTTTGTCAGAATTTCCTTGTGAAGAGCCATGTAAGACAGGTTCACTTGCAAGCAAACTCTCCTTGGACTTCTTAGCCTGCCGAACATTGTCTACTATATCAACTTCAGTATTGAGATACTTTACTGAGCTCGGCATGGTGCCTGGGTTAGCATTCATAGGCCCATCTTTCTCCACTATTCTGTTCTGGGAGAACTTATCAATGTTAGAGTTCCTCGGTGGTGATGAGGAAACTGATTCAATCGGTGAAGTCTTTGCAACTTGGGAGTTATTTTTCTTTTTCTGAGAGCCTGAAGCTTTTGAAGAACTTGAAGCTATGGCTGTGGTCGGAACATCACTAGAAGCAGCTCCAGCTAAGTCCAAAGCATGTTCAGAAGATCGCTTATCTAATACTTCGGATGGACCTCTTTTACCAGCAAAGTGT